TATATATAATATTAAAACAAAATCTAAATCGAAAGAAACTATTGGCGGCTAAACTTACGCGCGGATAAACTGATAAAAAAGAAGAAACGAATAAAAAGAGGGGCATGTGGAAAAGAAAGGGGAGGATTGGAGAGAAGGAGGTGGAAGGATGGTCACGTATATGTGGCGCGGCTACGCGTCCAACCAATTGAGTAATGCGCTTAATTTCCGAAGTTTATTGTATCGTAACTAAGTCAACAACACCAAGCCGGGACCATTGGTAAATCAGTGGTACTCACTGAAAGGCCAGCGTTGGCCAATGACTGATTTCCTGTGCCCTTTGTCGGGCGGTAACCTGACCCTTCCTGAAATTAGAAACGCCAAATCTTCGCAAAACAAAATAAAAATGACGCGAGAAATTCGCAGCTAGTTTCCTTAATTTCCTTAATTTCCGGGACGACATACAACAATTCGAAGTTCAAGTTAGTGGAGTGATAAATACATGCGTGCATAACACACGTGTGTATGTTAATTCGTTGTTAATATGTATCATTAATATGTATTCAAGCATTAAAGAAAAAAAAAATAAAAAAAAAAGAAAAGATAGTGGACTTTGTTAGTAGTTTAAGGTTAAATGAAGGATTCACGTAATAACGTCATAAAAGTAAAACCTGCACGACCAATTCTATAGCAATGAAGTGTGTATAAATTAATTAATTATACCTGTCACACGCAAGACTTTTCTTTGTATTTCCTTGCTTTCCTGCTTCAGTTCTGTTCACGTGTGTATAAATATATATGTATATGTAATTATAATATTCACGTAATATATACATATACAATTATAATATTATATAATTATCAATTTTTTCGCGTATACATTTGTATTTGTACACTACACAGGCTATATTGAAAAATCACATTACGTCACATATGAAATGTGGTTCTAAATTAAAGGTTAGATTTATGTATAATCATTGATTACGAAAATTATTTCAATTGCAAGTATGCGTGAACTTTGCTCACCACTCCTTTGTTTCAATATCTAATGATGTACAATGTTGAATATGATGTATTCATCGTATATATTATACGATTTGTCGGTAGCGATCATTTGATAAAAATAATACAATTTATATCATTTTATTTTGAAATGCTTTTAACTTCAGTCAGATATATTCTAGAGAAAAGCATTGGCAAAAAAGCACGTGTCATCTATAAACATCATATGAGCAAACAAAATTTGATTGTTGTTCAGTAATTGAAAATCGAAAATTAAGAATAGTTTTTACAAACTTATTACGATTAGAAGAAATAGATTATACGTCGTTCCGATACGTTGTATCTACGATTATCGTAGCGATTAAATAAGATGAGTTTTACGAATATACATACATGAATTATTACATAAATCAGCGATATTTCTGCGTATCAGGTTGCAACATGTTTCGCACGTTTGAATTATGAGTATCGAGATCAACTTTCAAACCACTCGTTTAAATATTCTGTCTATTTTTTATATGAATCATAAAAGTATATAAATTATACTCCACAAGGTAAAATAAAAATTCGAGATACGTCGATGGTGACATCGATATATAAACGTAAACGAGAAAGATTCACCAACGAATGAAAGTATCGATATCGAGAAATAAAATGTACTAATATTTCTTGAACAAACCGGCGCGCGTAGCCACTTACCTATAATGATTTTAGAGAAAATCCCTACTGCTACGAAGGTTATGCTACTCGCAATGTTCCAGAGGCTGCTCGTATTTCGGAGCTTCGGTATGATCCATTTGATATCGTATACCATCGCACTATCTTTCGCTAACTAGGTCGGAGGGGAAAATAGGAATGCGGCACTTTTTCCGGACACTGGGAAGCGCCTTCCCCGCGAGAAATCGTCTACTCTTTCGTAACTCACGACAACCATCTTCGTGCCAACTTCACGCCATATTTCTCGACGTAGTCACGTGGTTGGCCGGACGTGTCCGAACGCAATCGTACGTGCCCGAACGTTGCCGAGTAAAGCAGCGTTTCATTTAAAATTAAACGCGCTCCGAACACTTGTTCTCACCTCTGTTAACGACGTGTAAATATGTCCCGTTATTAGGTCAATTACAATTATTCTTTTAGTTACTGCCACGAGGTCCTTTCGTACATACACGACTTCTTTTCTGTCACATCCAGACATTCTTCTTCCGACTTTACAACTTGCAAATACGACATAAATAATTTTCAAAGTACTTGAAATAGAGAAATCCAAACGAATGTTAGGTATTGAGAAGCGCGTAAGTTACAGAAGGGGGAGGTAATGCGTAAGTCTGAGACTCGACACGAATTTAAAACTACATTTCAATTGTATTAAATTTTACTTTTGAAATTTTAAGTTTAAGTTATTTCATATTTGGATTATATTAAATTTTCTACAAACATAAATTTATTATTTACTTACAGGAAATGATAACTTACAAGAGGATCCAGCTTCGTTTCTCGACCGACTGGTGAATTTCATCGAGCTCACGATGAATATGAATCAAGCCTCACTTGGGAAATTTCACTTTTCTGACAGGTGGTAAACAAAATTTACAATCGCGTCCATCGTAAACGGTGGTAACGGGGCCTCGTTAGTGCAATTTGAAAACTGCAAGGTATACACGTTGTAACAGTCACGGCACGGTCGTAGTAATAAAATTGCTGCCGAGATCTTCGATAACTATTCACGCGTACAATGTCTGCAAAGTTGTACCTCTGACAGTGATGCTGCACTCGCGATGTCAGCCGAACACCTATCAGAAGCTGCTGCGAGGAAAGAAACGCATTGGACGATTACGAGGAGACAAGACGTTGTAGGAGGGGGCGTGCACACGACCATTGAGAGTAGGTATGTATGTACACATTAGGAGCTTCGGGTTAAGTTCATGCGCGGAGGAAGAAAGGGCGAAACACACCGGGTGCATTGAAGGAGGTTGAAAAGAAAGGAAAAGATACAATGATGCGAAGCAGAGTCGCTGGGCCGCGGGGGAGAGATGAGAGGAGATTGTCCGGTGGCATGTGGAAAGTGGGGGCCTAACGCGAGCGGAGAAGCAACCAGTCGAAGGGGCCCAGGAGTGGGGGGAAAAGGGCCTCATCTCAACAGCCAGTCCGATTCGAGTCTCTCGACTGCGTGTTGCCGTGCCATCGTACGTATGGGGGTACCAGTACGGGGGTTCCAGTTTACAACTGCGAAAAAGGATATCTCGAGAGCACCGAATTGTGTATTATTGGAGAACTGACCGCAAAGTGTCCCTTTCGTGTACATATATCTTTTTCTTCTTGTTCACTCGATCTTGAACGTACACGCAAGTTTTGGTACAGAGTAATACCAAAGCTTGGTAGAAGAATTCGTTTAGTCAATGCGAGAATGCGATCAACACCAAAGATCAATCGGTTCGTTCGGTTAAAGTGTCTTCACCCACTTTCGTGACCTTGAGACAATTCTGACAAGGCAATGGTAGCGCTCATCCGGCAGTCCTTTCGATCGTTGAACCGCGAAACGGTCGCCAAATACGTTTGGAAAATGACGATGTCTACTCTCTTCTGCGAAACGCGATAGACTCGTGAGTGATGCGACGACAGTAGAGAGTAGAGAAGGAACGGAGTAAGGGAGAGGAAAAAAAAAGAAAACAGTATCGGAAGAAAAAGCTAAGAGTATCGGCTTGGGAGGTTGAGAGAGAAAGAGAGAGAGAGAGAGAGAGAGAG